AATCAAGTAATCCGTTCAGTTGGTCTAGTATTGGCTTGATTGAGTGAGTAAGGTCTTTTCAAGCCTTATTACTGAAATAACTGATGTAGCAGTTTGGATCCCATGCAGCCAGAGAACTCTAAACACGTATCCAACAGAATCTCCCCAACAGATTATACCACACATATTATACACACAGAGGGGAGGGGGATAAGGACTGTTACTTAGAACAGGGGTGGGCAAACTACGGCCCGTGGGCCACATCCGGCCTGTTGGTCTGTCCAATCTGGCCTGCCCCAGAAAAAAAATCGCTGGGCATGGCATATTGCCCTGCACTGCATGGCCCCCAAAGCTGCAAAACAGTGCGGAGCGCTCTCGGGATAGGAAAGAAAAGAAGAACTTTGCAAAGGCCTCGGCTGGGAGTTCGAAATCACCTCTGAGTGCGACCTCTCCAAAGGTGAGTCCCCGCCGATCCCCCTTTTTTTTCCGGGGCTTCCAGGCTTAAACTTTGCAAAGGCAAAGTTTGCAGGGGGGAGCGTCTTCCTGCCAAGGAGCGGGAAGGGTTCCACCCGGCGGGCGGGCTGCTTGGAGCCACCTAAAGCTAGGCCTCTGCTGGTGGAGCCTTGCCCTGCCTTGGTGCCCCGTTTCGCGGCTCGGCGGTCCTGCTTGGGCAGCACTTTAAAAGCCCTCCTCCTCACGTACACGCCCGATGAGCCGCTCACCATGATGGTGTCTCCCAGCATCCGAGCAACTTCCCAGCAACTTGTGGCTTCCTTTTTCCTCACGGGCACTCACGCCTGACCCCGAGCTGCGTGGTGGAGGGGAAGCCCGGAGTGCTGCCGGGTCGCCTCCTCCAAGCAACCTGCCCGCCCACCAGGGAAGATACTCCTGCCTGCAAACTTCCTCTCGGGCGCTCGCGCCTGGCCCCAAGCCACGTGGCGGAGGGGAAACCCGGAGTGCCGCTGGGTCGCCTCCAAGCAGCCCACCCGCCCGCTGGGCGGAACCCTTCCTGCTCCTCGGCGGGAAGATGCTCCTGCCTGCAAACTTTGCCTGTGCAAAGTTTAAGCCTGGAAGCCTCGGAAACCCGAGCAACTTCCCAGCAACTTGCGGCTTTTTCTTCTCGGGCGCTCGTGCCTGGCCCCGAGCCACGTGGTGAAGGGGAAGCCCGGTGGGCGGGCCAGCTGCTTAGAGGAAGCGACCCGGTGGCGCTCCAGGCTTCCCCTCCGCCACGCGGCTCGGGGCCAGGCACGAATGCCCAAGAGGAAGTTTGCAGGCAGGAGCGTCTTCCCGCCAAGGAGCGGGAAGGGTTCCACCCAGCGGGTGGGTGGGCTGCTTGGAGGAGGCGACCCGCGGCGCTTCGGGCTTCCCCTCTGCCACGTGGCTCAGGGCCAGGCGTGAGTGCCAGAGAGGAAAAAGCAAGCCGCAAGTTGCTGGGAAGTTGCTTGGGTGCTGGGAGCCACCGTCGTGGTGAGCGGCTTGTCGGGCACGTACGCGAGGAGGAGGGCTTTTAAAGTGCCGCCCGAGCAGGACCACTGAGCTGGGAAACGGGGCACCAAGGCAGGGCAAGGCTCCACCAGCAGCGGCCTAGCTTTAGGTGGGCTTGGATGCCCCTGAGCGCGGTTTGCTGTTTGTCCTCTCCTGGGACTCGCGTTTGGAAAGCGTGGAAAGTAGTAGCAGGAGCAGCTGCGGTGTTACTTTTTCTTATATATAATATATATATATAATATATATATATATATTATAAAGGGCCCATTATA